AAATAACACCTTACTTTTGCCTAGGAGMAATGCAAAAGCAGGGGCTCTTGGATCCATGAATGGGAGCATAAATTCTGCCATGAATAGAGTGCTTCTGCTTCAGGGACAAAAGCGTCTGGGGTGCAGAATGTAAAATGCTTCGCTGTCCCTTGGTGTCAGCAAACAAGACATGCAAAGCAGTGTAGCTGAGAAGGAAGACCCTTTTCCCAGAGCATGAGCACAGCCCTGGTTAGTACAGCTGGGCCCCATGATTTCAACACCACTGGAAGCACAAAATAGTTGTGTAATGAAAAGTCAGCATTGCTGATCGCTATCCCTACTCCAAGCCCATCAGGAATCTGGGGTCACGCAGTGAAACTCGCCGGGAAGCCATCCCCTAAGAGCCACATGGTTTGTCCCGGCTCTTGGGGCGGATCCTCAGTGCCGGGACCTGTCCTGGGAGGTCTGTGCGCTGCTGGAGATAAAGGAGCCGGGCAGGGTGGGACAGCAGCGATGCCTGGAGCCCCGGGCTGGCTGCTGGTGCTGCTGGCGAGCTGCCTGTGCTGCCTGTGCTGCCCGGGCTGCGGGCACCGCGCCTGCCGCTGCCTGGGCCGGGTGTTCCTGTGCCAGGAGAGCCGGGGGCTGCAGCCGCCCCGGGACATCCCTCACAACGCCACCGAACTGTAAGTGTAAATGGGGAGCGCTGGGGAGGGCAAACCAAACCATGCTGGCTCTCCCAAGAGRGTGCCCCTTGGCAAGCCAGGGGTCAGGGTGGTGGGGACACACTGGGGACACTCCGTGCCAGCTGCTTGCGGAGCTCACCCTTTCCTCCAATGCTTAATCACACCTGGAAACTCCACTTCTCTGATCGTGCTCCTTTTCAGATCTCTGTTAAGGAAAAGGATCTTGCACGTTCTAATGCAATTGCAGACTAAATTTGAAACCAGCATCCTTGGTGCTGTGACAGTAATTAGAAGCGTGAGGTCTGAGCTTTCTCTACAGCTCGCTTTAGCGTTGTGGGAGCGCGCAGAGCAACTTATCTGCCCCAAACTACTCGATGATGAGTGTTTGTTTGTACTGCAGGAGCTTTCCAAAGGTTTGTGCTTGTTTGCCAAGAAGCGACTTAATGTTTTCCCTTTGAAACCACAAAGGCATTGCAGTGAGGACTCTGATAAACATTCGGAGAGGATCCTCCTCCACCAGAGGAGAAGCTGTGGCTGGAGAGAGTGAACAACGTGAAGATCCCGTACTGAGTTACGAGAGGGGAATGGTTTCTCTATCTTAAAGCTTCTCATTACTTTTTTTTCATAAAAGTAATACAAGCAATAGTGAGTGACAGCTGTTTTGTGTGTCAGTGGCACAGGCGAGTGAAGGAGCTTGCGCAATGGCAAGTGTGTAACTGCAAGTTGCATTTGTTTTCATTCCAGTGTTTTTAAATCAAATTATATCACCCTGTGCCAACACCCCCACATCYAGCTTTGTTACAGCCTAAAGCAAAACCAAAAGGAGTAGTCCKGGATAAGGCCTTGGTTAATAAGTTGAGTGGCAAGTTGGAAGGGAGGATACAAYGAAGAATTATATGGCACTAGTTAGAAAAATATACTCCTATAGCAATCTATTTTTTTACACACCACAGTATATCCACGGTTATGCCACAGTTTTCCTAGGGCAGCWCTTTGGTTTTGTTCAGAAGGAGGAGTTATGCTCACTGACTAAACAGACTGCAGTGAAAACTTAAGAGAAATGTCTGAATTAACCACAAAAGGTCAGTAAAAGTTTAAATCATTCTCRCAACTAGAGGAAAAACTAATCCATCTGTGATTTAGGTCACCTAAATCCTGAGTGAACTGTGCTCCAGGCGTATATGGCTAATTTTGTTTAATTTTGCTTTGATTGTTTCTTTAGATTACACAGTTAAGGTCTGCCTTCTAGGGATTAAGCAAAAGCATTTTTTAATTATTTCTGCAAAGAAGTAGAGTATCGCTGAAAAGCACCTGTTAGTAAAATGGGATTTGTTCTSTCCTCGTTAACTTCTGGAGACATTGTTGAGGTTGCTAATTTGTGGGTTCTTAGCAGGAGTATTGTTCTCTGAAACAGACAGAACACATTAGCCTGACTGAAAACAGCAAATAAATCCTTTCTTCTGCCAGTGCTGTACAAATACTGGAGTTAGAATCTCTCGACTCGACTCTCTTCTCACCTTTTCTCTCACAAAATAAACCAGCTTTTAGTTCCTCATGAAGTTMTTCAGGCCCCAATCCACCAGTATAGCCCTGGGACTGATTTCAGYACGTCTTAAAAATTTGAAAACTACCCAGAGTTGCTTTGAAAACACCAAACCTTGGCATTACTAAAGGCAGGTACGTTAGCTGAAGAGCTGTAAAATGACAGATAAACCTGAGATGTTTGCTTCAGGATCAGAGGGGAGCTCCAGGAAAGTGCTTTGGTCTGCATTCTCCACTGGGTGCCCAGTGGGGTGATTCGGGTGACTAAAGCAGGTTCCAGTGCTCCCCATGACACTGCAGGTGCACTCCGGCTAACAGGAAAAGCTTGCTTAATGTTTCCTCCAAAAGTCTCAGYGAGTGGAAAGGGGATTTTGATCAGTGTGGCGCTTGAGCACAGGGGGCCACGGAGTCTGGGAGCTCTGCACAGGACACAAGCAGAGATTTTTTTTGCTGAGTGCAGCCCCTGCAAGGCACTTTTTCCACTAAAGAGCTCATTCTGGGAGTGCTGGATGCAGTCTGGTTTCATTTAATATAAAGGAGAGRGGTTTCTTCAGTACACTTAGAGCTCTTCACCTCCCCTTACATGGTCATAACTTTCCCAAGTTGTCCTAGAGCCCTTCCCTCGTGCCTTTAAAACATTTAATAACATTCTGGTGAAAGCTTTAGAGTGAGAGCAGGAGCCTGGTAATTCTCAGGTGCTTCTCCCATTGCTGTTTCTGTTTCATTGCAGTTGTGTCTGAGGGTGGGACAGTGGCATGGGGCAGCCAGCTCTGACACCTGGTAGGAAAACTCAGGATAAAGACAAAACCAGGGCCCTCACTGACCAGCATCTCTGCCATTGCTGGCTTTCTTATTGTTATTTTTCAGTATTTGAGGGTTGTTTCTTTGTGGTGTTTACCCAAGAGGGAGAGCCACTCCACGAGCTCTGCAGTGGCACATGAGACAGGGGTTTGATCAGCATCTGCTYGAGCAGGGGTGCTGCAAAGGGAAGGCTGGTGGCCTCTCAGGCTGAGTGATTTTGTTGTGTGCTTACCTTGCAGGAGCAGAGCAGGGATCAGAATCCCTGGGCTTTCATCACTCTTCTTTCTGCCACATCTACTTTTTCACTCACTGGCCAAAATCTCATGAGAGGCGTAGCTACAGCTTGGTTTGTACGTTGCTTTTTGCAGATTTGCACACACTGCAGCAGGCACAATCTGATTGTTTGCAGGGGAGACTGTGGTTAATTAGCTGTTTTGTTCCATAATCTTTGCCTGCATAGAAGAATTTGTGGGTTTTTTTGTGGTTTTTGTTTGTTTGTTTGTTTGTTTTTGTGGGTTTTTTTGTTTTGTTTTGGGTTTTTTTTTGTAGATACCAAAATGCCAAAGAGCGGGCTCTTACTTACAAGCTTTGGAGTCAATCCATTAGAAACCAGAGGCCAAAAATTCAGGTGGGAAATGTGGGTTCACCTATGTCAAAGTGTTAACTGTTGATTTCCTCGGGGGCACAGGGGAAGAAGTGATGCAGTAAGAGCTGGAGGCTGCTTGCTCCTTGAAGATCTGCTCCAGTCTTAAAATCCAGCATTGAGTTTTATAATCCATCATCAATATTCACCAGGATTTCATTTATTCATTTGAGGTCTTGCTTTGAGGTAGTGATGCAGACAAAAATAACATTCTCAGAAGGGATCTTTCTKACCATTTAACAAATTACTTTAAGCAGTAACATTTAAATAGCACCGAGTAACAGGATGACAGGAAATGGCCTTAAGTTGTGCCAGGGGGAGTTTAGATTCAATATTAGGCAAAATTTCTGCCCTGAAAGGGGGTCATCATCATTGGAATAGGCTGACCAGGGAAATGGTGGAATCCCCATCCCTGTAGGTGTTGTGGATGTGGTGCCTGGGGACACTTTGGTGGTGACCATGGTGGTGCTGGCTTAGGGGTGGAACTCAATTATCTTGGAGTTCTTTTCCAGCCACAATGCCTCCATGATTCTGTGAGGCAGTTYAGCCATTGTCACAGCAGTTTAGAGGGATGTTATATGGAGTGTTTTCTCCCCAGCATCTGCAAGCTATAAACAGCAGGGTTTTTTACTTGCTCTCTGCATAGGTGTTTTTGTACAATTGCTCAGGGATATTTACTTTAGACTATCRAGTCAAGGCTGAGGAGATGTCTGAGCACTAAAACATCAGCTGCCTAGAAATAGCRAGTCCTGTGTTATGTGGGGAGTGTCAGATGCTCTTCCCAGCCACCGAAGCTGCAAATGATGTGAGTTGTAGCTGCAACAGTTACTGACAGGGCAATTAGGATTTTTTTTTTATTCTTTCACACTTAGAGTTGAGATTACACTGAAACYTGCAAACAGCTAGACGTCTTGCTTGGGTGTTTATAGTGAGGAACTGATCTTACCCTAAGAGAGGCAAGGTGTGGAGAGAATAAAGTAAACTAAGAAAATGGAGACCCGGGAAGCATTGAACTCCCTGTGTTGTGGTGGTTAATCATACAGTTAATCAATAAACCCACATATTTTCAGAATGCAATGAGGATGTTTTCACAGCAGAGCATATTGAGAACATATTCCATGCTGGCTGAGGCCTTTATAATTGTTTTAGTTTTTAATTCAAACCAGCTTTGCATCTGTTAGGGTTACATTCTTCTTTCCTGAATTTATGATCAGTTCCTACTTTGAAACAGAAAGCTACAGAGCTGCTGTTGCTGTCTGCAATCAGTGCAGTGGTCCAAGGCTTAGGCTGGGTTGTGTATTTAACATTTTAATTGGGAGGATAAAAAGAAATGGGCAGATCATAAGAGAGGAAGAAAAAGAAACCTAAGAAAATTACACAAAAGGATAATTAACTCTGCAAAACAGATCTTCAGCTGCTGTAAATAACCAAATATATCTATCTCTAGAGAAACACTCAGTTTGTGAAGCTTCAGGAGCTTTTGAGCACAAGGAATTATGCTGCACACAATGGGAGCTGCTTTGCAGTGCAGTGCTCTGTGGCTYACTCCTGATGCCATAAATGAACCCATGCACTTGGCTTTCCCCTGATTTACAGGGGCTGCAGCTTGATGTGGGTAAGAGAGGGGTGTGGCCAAGTCTGGAGATAGCTGTCTGTACAGACACACACATATATATCATGCATGTTTGGAATTAAAATGCATTCCCTTAAAATTTAATGACTTGCTAAATCACAGAGCTTGTTGTGGGGAAAGTGTGAGAGCCAAGACTGGATTTTGTTTCCTTGCAGCATTGGGGGGGTACCAGGCTGATGCCCTGCCCTGGGGTCAGCTACAGAGAGATTTCCTCAAAGTATAAATTACATTTTTTCCAGCAGTCTCTGTCACAAACACACAGAAACCAGCCTGTGCCACATCCCCACAATCTGATAGCAGGCAAAATGGGTTCGTGGGCTGGTGAGCTCCATGTCCTAAAATAAAACCTCTCTCTTAGACRTTTTAGATATGTTCTGGTTG